ATGGTAACGTGGAGTCCGCTGGCAGGATGGATCTTCGCATCGTCATCGTCGAGACGAGGCTCCGTCTGGCACACCGCAGGAGGCCACAAGCTTACGGTAATGTCCCAGGCCAACTCGGGTCGCTCTTCCACTAAACAAAGACGTGGCCCATAGCGGAGTTCGGCTGCGCCTGACAAAACTGAGCAGCCCTATTTAAGGATGGCACTGCTCATGCCCGCGAGGGTTAAGGAGCTAGAACAGTAGCCCTAAAAATGTGGGGAACCACATCGTCTGCAGGCTGACCGTGGTCGCAGACGTTAAACTCACGGTCAAAACAACCCTCTCTCCTCCTCCTCCACCTCCTCCCTGGCGACCTATGTTATTGCTGAGACATCTACAACTACGATGGGGCGGCCGCCTCGTGTGGATGGACGACGAGCGGCTACTCCAAGGGGTCTTCTATAGAGTTGTCGTCAAGGGTTCCCACCGACAAGGAGGTCAAATCTGGGGCTACAAGGATACTCTGAAGACTTCCTTGGAGCACCTGCAGATCAGCCCGGCCAACTGGGAAGAACTCGTCCAAAAATGACCGGCATGGAATAGAGAAGTGAAGACAGGCGCTGCTATACACTTGATAAACTGCATCGCCGCCGCGAAAGCCAAACGATATGCACGCAAGTCTCAGCTGCGCCCACCTCGCAACGCCAACGCCCAACTGTCCCCAACGTGTCCACGGTGTTACCGGGCATTGCGGACACCAATAGGACTTGTTGGGCACCTTCGGACCAACTACAGCACGCGGGCTTCACCAACCGTCGTCTCTTCGTCCACCTCTCTGTCGCATCCTACGCCGTCAGCTAACTATGACCGCTCTCCTGAACCACCACCACTACCATCATCATCATCATCATCATCATCATCATCATCATCATCATCATCATCATCATCATCATCATCATCATCATCATCATCATCATCACCACCACCACCATCATCATCATCATCCATTGTCTTCACGTCTGCCGTTGTGGCGTCTGCCACGCACGTCAAAATTTCACACAATCCGGACACACCAACAAACACCAACACCACCACTGTCGACACTAGTGGTGTGGACCTGGTCTACACTTGTCCTCATTGCGACCGCACCTTCATCTCACATCTCGGCCTGGTCGATCCCTTGCGGATCCATCGAACAGAGACTGGCGAACCAGTGCCTGGAGCACCAAACTATACTTGCCGCATCCGCCTCCACTGTCAACATTGCACTCACACATTCATGCACCGCACGGGTCTATAAGGCCACATGTGCGTCCATGAAAACTTGCGGTAGACAATCGCCAGCTGCGCCACACCATCACATCCTCCCTCGCCAACACCTCGTCGTACATCATCATCACCACCATCATCATCATCATCATCATCATCATCATCATCATCATCATCATCATCATCATCATCATCACCATTATTATTATTATTACCCACCACAAGCACCCAAATGCCATCTCCTACGCCAGTGGGAAGTGAACGTCTTGACTCCGTCTCCATGCGGCCCCCCAGCTACATGCGTGGCTCGAATCTGAGACTATCACGGCACGTCAATCGTCGTGGTTTTGAAAGCTGCTGACTGACGCCCCAACTCAATCTACGCAGTCCGTCTAGTTTTGTTTGTGTGGAGTGGCGGACTGGTGTGCTAAGAGCCAGGATGAAACAGCTACTTCTAAAAGTGACCAACGGCACTCTCACGCAGGTGAAATGTACGCTGCTGAAATCCCGTTGTGTGAAATCCTGGTGCTTGTTTTTGGGGGCCAGGTCGTGTATGTGGCACGAGCAGACAAGGCTAATAGATATGTCAGCCACCGCGCCCATTCCCCACTCCAGTCTGCTGGCCGGCTCGGACAGTGGTTGGGGCCTGGGAATGGGAATGGAGAGTGCGGTCGACGACGCAGCTCATTTTCCTCACTATAAACAAACTGACGTGCTTGAAACTATCACGGTACGCTAAAAGCCGTGGCTTGGAAGGTTTCCAACTGACAATATAACTTGGACCTCGCAGTCGGTCCAGTGTTGTGTGTTTGTGTGGAGAGACGGGCTGGTGGTCCAAGTGCCAGGCTGCAATGGCTCCTTTTTAATGTGTTCTTTATGGCACTCCCACTTCATGGGACGCGAGCCGGGTGTGGCGGCACGCCTAGGTGCGGCTTCGGCCGTGCCGGCCACCTACCCCCCCCCTCTCCGGTCTTCTTGACTCTGTCTTGACTCTGGGTCTAGGTGGGGAACGGGAAGAGAGAGTGCGGTAGATACCGCCCAAGTCTGAAACCACCATAAACTAATTCACGAACATGTCACCGTCCCTGCTCCGCCTTGCTGTTGAGCACACGATGGACATCGCCGGAAACGGCTGGGGTGGATGGGATGGAGTAGGAGGGAGTATGGTGTCAACGCATTTTCGCCCTTCTAACGTGTCCGCCTGTTCCTCTCGGACAGCATCCCTGATCCGGACGACCCTGACCGCGTCCTCCCGGTCGCCCGGAAAATATATATGTCATTCACTTGATTATTCTCCGGAGTTCATAAACCAGAAAACGCATAGGGAACGCTGGGGGACCCCCTGAAGAGCTGAAACCCTCGCAGCTCCCTCAAGCAGCCGCAGAATGTCGGCGAAACACGTGTCTGGGCTTCTGGTTAGTACCTATGTCGGGATTACGGTATAATACGTATGCCATATACATTTCATACCACTCGTGGTACTGCTTGTTTGTAGAATGGACATTACGTGGTTATTCCACAAAAGTTGATTGTCTTCGACTCAAATGTTCATTGAAATTTCGGGTCTGACCCTTAAAAGTAATGTCCCCGAGACTGAACTCTATGTCCTGCAGTGAATAATTTCTGAAATTATTCGCATGATATATCGATATATATGTAAATATACCTGCATGTTAAATCCGCGATAGAGTAAAGCTGAGAAATTCGGGACGCGATACGAGGGATTACTCTACACGCGTTCCGATTCTAACTGGCATTTAATAAATAAAGTCGATATTTAATATTACAAATGACTTTAATGTCTATACACAATCAGCACAATTTTACTGTCGAACCCTGTTGAACTCAAGACCACACGAAGTCGGAACGGCTGATTGTAGGACGCTCTGGAAATCTTATTCCATCATTTCACATTTGGGTCTCCGTTTCTAGCCTAACTCGGCGACGTCAACAGCTCTGTTCTTGGTTAATAGTCAGTTCTACCTGTCTTAAAAGATAAATTCATTATCCTGAGCATTTATGTCGTTGAATATGTGCAGCAAACGTCCCTGGCTTACAAGTGCTGACTTAAGACAACTAAAGATATAGTGTAACTTTACCCAATAGCATAATTGACTTATGTATGATGGTCTAAATTTTATTAATGTTCCAGAGTCCTCCTGATAACTATATTATTACAGTTGCTTGTTTCCACTGGTTGCCTGGTGTGATCTACTAAACTTCATGGTACACGACTTTTGTAGGGAGCATTTAAGAGGTTTTCCCAACAGCTCAACAAAAGTAGCTTCGACGGTGACGTTTCGAGTGGCGAGAAGGTCTGTCTTATTAATGAAGACCTTGTGTTTCACCCAAATTTTCAGCGGAAGTCCGACCACTCCTCTTTGAGTGGTGCGCTTTGGGTCCACTCTTGAATCGAAATCTCCAAGAAATTGATTCCCTCAGCTTATGGTACATATGCAGTGGCAGAATACAAGTCTTTGGGAAACATGTCATCCCAATCTCGGTTTTTCATCTTAAATGCGTATCTTATGGTTAAAACCCTCCGAGTAGTAGCGGTCTGTCGGATACTTATTTCTGTAAGGCAGTAAGCTTCTTGAAAAGAGAGCACCGTGATAGCTGAAACAGGGGTTTTATTTGCCCAACGTTTCCAATTCCCTCTCGAACTTAGCCTCAGAGACAGGATCAGATAAGGGTAGTGGTTTGCACGAATGTTGCAGTATTTATAGGATACAGTTGGTATGCATGTCTCTCAAAATTGACGGCTTTCGCGTTCATCGCAGATGGCCAAACATCGTGTGATAGTTGCATGGGTGCCTGCAGACGAAACGTCAATTGCTACAAAGTAATCATTCATTTGAGTTATCGGGTCATTTGGCTCGTCAGCAATGGCACGGGGGACAGCGCTTGTCCTCGCGCCCCCTGGTGACCAATTGTTCTGCCCAGGCGAAGTCCCAGAGCAGAATACGGTGGCGGGAGGACATGGAGTTTGTTAGTCGACTGAGGACCGAAAAACCATGATTCAAGCAATTCGCGGCCCACGCGGTTATCACCTATTGCGAGAAATTCTGTCCCAACGGAATGGACGATGCGGCAGGGTCCCGTCAAATGAGCCACGACTTGGGTGCTGGCAGCGTTTCCCCTTGCTACCGCTGCGTGTTCGGCCATCCGCGTCCGGAGTAGTATTGAAGTTTCTTCGACGCAGTTGCTTTTCCCCATAACTGTATTGACCCCTGTCTTTGATACGGGACTCGAGAGTGGATCCGAATTGCCAGACAAATAAAACTCGCGTTACAACAATCCGTATTCATCATCTTGACTGTTTCCCAGACCTCGCCTCTTCGATCCTAGTAGTAAGCTTCAGCATACTATTCTTATCTGTTATTGAATTGCATTTGAGCAAGTCTATCCATTCAGACAGCAATTCCTTTAAAGAATTCCTCTTTCTCCACTTTCATAGACATTTTAGTGTCCGAAGTCGTGAGTTTTCCAAGGGCCACTGATCTCTCAAAATATGCTTTTGTGTACTTATGTGCATTTGCGAGCAACCAGCTCGATTTCGAATGCACTCATGACAATAAATATCGAGATATGTGCAGTCTAATCGCGAAGCCCAGTCGTACAGAAAACTCTCTAATAACCGTTCTCCGGATTGGTTGACTGGTGTGTCCCTAAATGCCAGTTGGGACTACGAAGAACATTTACGCTTGACTGCGGTTTTGGTCAACAGGCACTGGTCTTTCCTGTCAATGTAGGGGCTTTTGCGCACTCACACCACAGCACTTGTTGACGCAGCGCCCGCCGGCACTGACTCGGTTGGCTTTGCCTTGTTGGCGGACTGAGCCCTACATTACGGCATTCTAAGGGTCGCTCTAGTCCTTTCATCAAGCTTCTATAGCCCCAGGGATTTTCCTGAAAACGGCGGCCTTCATCGTTTTGACTTGTTTGAATTTGCATTTGTGTCCTTGCACTCATCCTTGCCTTCCTAACCTTTCAGGGGCTTCTAATCAGGGTTTTAAGTGACCTTGTGTTTGTCAATGCTGTTCACCCTTCCCTAAATATTTATCATCATCATCATCATCATCATCATCATCATCATCATCATCATCATCATCATCATCATCATCATCATCATCATCATCATCATCATCATCATCATCATCATCATCATCATCATCATCATCATCATCATCATCATCATCAGCAGCAGCAGCAGCAGCAGCAGCAGCAGCAGCAGCAGCATCAACAACAACAACCCGCCAGTTACGTTTTCAGGTTCACCCACCTCGAACCGTAAGGACGTCCACCCTACAACTCCAATGCCGTAGCCATCTGCAATTCCACTCCGTTAACTTCCAAGTTTCTGGGCACGGCAACCTCTTCCTGAATGTTCCTCCCGAACTGTGCCGACGTCATCTTCTCTCACACAAACTTCGCATTTGACGGGGCTCCTTTGAATTTTCACGTAGAGTGCGAATTACGGAATGAATGATAGGAAATTAATATTAGTATTCACATTAAATTTTTTATCTGGCAAAGGTTTTAGAAACCTCAAAATCTGGTGGAATATGGGAAACCACGATGAAATTCGGATGTCCGAAACTACTAGCGCAAATGGCTAAACTGCTGCGCGATGATTTGATAGCGTGCTACAGACAGTGAGACTGTTGGATAGCTCTTGCAGTGAGAAAGGGCGCGATGTTCGACTACACATCCACTTCCACGATCGTCGGCCCCATGCTTTCTGCAATAATGAGGGACGGCTACCGGGGGAAGGGATTTTATTAAAACCATCTACCGAATCGATTGGAAGCTACTCAATAGTCGACATCTGCAGACAGAAACGAAAGTATCGACAGGTCTATGACCTCTCGTTCGCAGACGACTGAGCGCCAAATACCACAATCAAGGAGGATGTCTAGAGGAATGAGGGACTATTTGCTTCTGGTTAACAAAACTTCAGATCTTTAACTATCACAGAGAAGATGGGCTATGTGCCCGTGGACGCAAATGGCGAAATACGATGGACTTTAGACTAGTACCGATAAAACCCGCCACGCGGCCATTAATAGGCCCGTGCACATCATAAATGAAATTTCGATAAACTCCAAGATCAACAACGAAATTGCAAGGCAGATCTCCAAAGCCGGACAAAAAACTCAGCAGGCTTTAATACGGTCTGCATCTCCGCCTACTGCTCGTCTTCCTATATTCCCCGGAGAACGACCACCGCCTCCAATGAGATTAGATCGAGGTAATCAGCCGGGCCCCCACCGAAGGCTTTCAAGAGTTTCCCGGGATTACGCTGTCCAGGGCTAAATGCAGTAATAGCAATGTTCACCACGGTGCGCATTCAGTAAGTCCATGAACACATCTCATGGGTTGCTTTCACCACTAAAGCATTGCGTGATGACCACGACACTCTATTCGTTATCCAGACGGACACTGGCCTACACCGCTCCCTCCCCCCTACCAGAAGACATCGATCCCAGCCCTGCTTCCGCATCAGTGCATTTTCAGCGTGCGGTCGCCGACTGTAGCCTTCCAGTCCCCCCACCATCTGGCTCACAACTGACACTCCCAGTGATTTCGTCTGATAACAAACCGTCTCTGACAATCCGAAGACTTGCAAGTAAATCTTTAAACTTCATAAGAACTTTTCAGTTCCCAAATATCGTCTGAAAACGCTTGCCACCGCAGATGTACCATTTGTGTACTTAGGGAGCCAGGAACACCTAAATGTCAAGTTCTGCTTCTTTGTCGTCACCACCAACCCCTTAAGCTACCGAGTCCACGTTCTGTCAGCTGCGACCGAGAATATTTAGCCTCAGGAGACTTCAAGGTCATTTGCTCTTTATCTTTGAACTGGCGCTTTACAGCCCACGCAAGCAGCGGCACGGCGACTCTTAATCTTCTCGATTATTGGTTGTCCCACCTCACTTTACATTAGCAGAGATGGATCATCGACCGTAGTCCCCCTACCCCTCACTCTCCAGGGCGCAAAAAATAGTCTACCGTTTTGCCTAACATGGGTCGTTGTTGACAATGAGAAGCGGACGATTCATGTGTAAACTGTTGGCTTTCGGCAGAGCTTCCTACCCCTTATATCATTACTGTTTCGGAATACACACCACTGCGCAGTTGGAAGGAAATAATAATTCGAGACGGCTTTCCGAGAATATGATAATCGCCTAACATTATCCAAAATAAAAACAGAGTTCAAATGATTTATAAATAAGGGCGTTTCTCCGCAGAACAACTGCGCCCGTCCGACGCGTTACTGAACGTGTTTTTCCCGAATAAGTCGTTAAAGTGTCCGACAACACATTAATGTTGCTTTCTTGTCCACTGCCAACGGGCGCACGGTTCGCGCTTGATGTCTATGAATAACGCACAGCTAATCAGAAAAACGTCCATATGCACGCGTTCTGCTTACAGTGGCGTTGTTAACGTATTCCTTCCTTGGCGAGATTCTGGGAGGATATTGACGCTTTTTTCCGGCAATAATTTTGGTAAATATATGGTGACGGGAGATCAATTTCTGTGGCCGCTTTCGAGCGCTTACAGTATTTATACGCACAGCGGGTATCATACGAGTCTTTGACGAATTTTAAGTATTTGATGGCCTGTATGAAGCAAATTCCGAGTAGAAGAGATTTTTCACACACAAGGATTAAAATACTTCATAAGACCACGAGAACTCATGAGTCCAATAAATTATTTCCCAAACAATTTTCCCAAGGAATGATACAGCAATGAAACCTTCTAGAAATTTGCCATATTATAGCAACGGCTAAAACGTCAATCACTCATTAACACCCTCAAGGTCAGCAGAAGTTGAAGGCGTGTGAAAAGTGACGAGTTGAGGTTCGGTCTGCTAGAGTGAGTCCGCTCAAACTGGAAGCCTGGAATGTTCGCTTTATTTTAGACAATCCGAGGAGCAACCGACCGGCATGGAGGACGGCGTTAATGGATCGTGAACTGGCGCGCTACAAGGTGAGCATTGCTGAACTCAGCGAGGCCCGCTTCTCCGAACAAGGCCAACTGAAGGAGATGGGTGCAGGCCACACCTTCTTCTGGATCTGTCATTCAAAGTTAAAGCGACGGGATTCAGGCATCACCTTTTTCATGCGAAACTACATCGTAGGACGCCTGCTCTGCATGCTGAAGGACATCAACGATCGTCTGATTAGCCTCCGCGTGCCTCTCCGGGAAGGCAAATGCGACACTATCATCGGCGTCTACGCCCCCTTGATGACCAGCCCCGACGCCGAAAGGGACAAATTCTACGAGGAAATGCGCGCCCTCCAGCCGACTGTATCGATGTCAGATAAGTTGATTGTCCTCTGTGAATTTAACGTCCGAGCCGGCACAGACCGTGCTGCCTGGAGAGGAGTGCTGGCCTTCGCAGCTTTAATGACAATGGCCTACTCCTCCTGACAGCCTGCGGCGAACACCGATTCACCATGACTTACACCTTATTCCGCCTGCCTATGCGAGAGCAGGCCACATAGATGCATCTTCGGTCGCGTCAGTGGCATCTGCTGGACTATGTCCTCGTCCGAAGGCGAGACCAGCAGGACATGTTGGTGACAAAGACGATCCACGGTGCCTATGAGTAGACCGACCGTCACCTCGTCATATCCAAGATGAGGCTCCGTCTTCGAACCTGCAGGAGGCCACAAGGTAGGCGATCACCAGGCAAATTGAATACTGCTTTTTGTCTTTACCTGCCCACCGTCTCCATTTCGGCAGCGAGCTAGCTCAGCGGCTTGACAACCTACCAGTCGCTGATGCCGCGTCTGCCACTGACGAGAACGCCTCTGTGGAGAAACGCTGGTGTTCACTACTGGACGTCGCCATCAGCAACCTACTCGCCAAGTAGAACCGCCTGCACAAAACCTACGCCAACCACCATACCGACGACAACAAAGCAGCATTCTACTGTAGTCACCGTCTTGTGCAACAGCGGGTGCGCGAGATGAAGGACACCTGGAAGGTTCGCATATCCGAGGAGATCCAAGGGTACGCGGACCGCAACGAATGGAAGCATTTCTTCTCTGCGACTAAGGCTGTGTACGGTCCACCAACCAAAGCAAATGGTCCTATCCTTGTCGCCGACGGTAGTACCCTACTCACTGAAAGAACACAAATTCTGTAATGATGGACCGAGCACATCATAGGCGTCCTTAGCTGCCCCTCCACGATCTCCGACGCCTCCATCGCCCGTCTGCCTCAAGTGAAGGCCAGTGCTGATCTCGATCTCTCGCCCTCTCTACGCTAAGTCACCAAGACTGTGCAGCAGCCCTCCAGCGGGAAAGCGCCCCGATCGTACGCGATCCCTGCTGAGATCTACAAGCACGATGGCTCCCAACTAATAGATCATCTTGTGGTGCTCTTCCAGGTCTTCTGCCGGAAAGCCGATGCGTCTTCCGCCGTCCTCGTGAGAACTAGGCACGATCTTCGCCGCCTGCCAACATCAGGAGAAGTACCGGGCGATGAGTATCCAACTCTACTCCACATTTGTGGATCTGACGAAATCCTTCGACACGGTGAATCGTTAATGACTTTAGGAAATCATACAGAAAGTCGGCTGTCTCAAAGGATCCACTCAGATGATGCGTCAGCTCCACGATGGTATGATAACGCGAGTCACAGATAATGGAGATTCCTCAGAGGCATTCGCAGTAACCAACGGATTAAGGCAGGGCTGCGACCTCGCGCCCACCCTTCTTAGTCTCATGTTCTCTGCCATGCTAATGGACGCCAAACGTGACGAACACCCGGGATCTGCATCGCCTACAGGATGGATGGTCACCCCCTCAACCAGCGGCGGATACATTTCCCGACGCGTTTATCCACAAGGACCAAGGTCAAAGACCAACCGCCACCCGACGCTGCCTACGTCTTACCCAAATCACACATCTGGGCAGCATCTTTCCTCACAATGCCAAAATCGACGATGAAGTGCCCTGCGTATTTTGAAAGCAAGCCAGGCCTTCGGCCGTTTGCAAAACACAGTTTGGAATCGACACCTCAGCAACAAAATGAAGATGTGCAAGGCAGTCATCCCGCCGACGCCGCTATATGGATTGGAGACCTGGACGGTGAACAAGGAGCAGACACGGAGGCTCAACCACTTCCACTCCAGCTGTCTTCGGCGGATACTAAAGCTGAGGTTACAGATCTGGATCCCGGATATGGAAGTAGTTGAAGTAACAGGAATCCACAGCATCCACCCCATGCTGTGACGACTGCAACTGCGATGAAGCAGCTACCTCGTGGAGATAGACGTCGAGCGGCATCCCTAACGGGTCTTCTATGACGATGTCGTCAGGGGTTCCCGCCGACAAGTAGGTCAAACCCGCTTCTACAAGGATACTCTGAAGACTTCCTTGGAGCACCTGCAGATCAGCCCGGCCAACTGGAAAGAACTCGCCCAGAACTGACCGGCATGGAATAGAGAAGTGAAGACAGGCGCGGCTATATACGAAGCAAATGGGATAGCTTCCGCCAAAGCCAAAATGGGGGCTAGCAAATCACGTGCTTCAACTCCTCGAAGGCGACAGCCAGCCACTTCCAACATCTATCCTCAGTCATCGCAATTCCGCGCGCGAATCGCCTTGTGGGACACCTTCGAAAGCCATGCGCCAAC